TTCTGTGTTTATTTTTAACTGATACATGAAGAGATTATTGTTAAATGCATTATTTACAATAGAATCACATCACAGTCTTAAGTTGACCTAATAACATGTGATAGGAATAAATAAATGAGCAGAGAAGTGATTGATACATGACAACAGGCTGCAAATAGGCACCTAAAATAAACAAACAAAAAAAAGAAGTTAATTTTTAATTACCTAAATACTTTGGGGGCAAAAGTTAATGAAGATGTTCCTGTAAGTCTCAATAAGTGTCTACCAAAATATAACAATGAAGTATTCCTTTTTTTTTTTCAAGATGTAATATTCATCTGGTGAAAGTGAATATGAAACTTTTCACTTCCTCCTCCTTGAAGTCATGCAAAATATGCAGAGATCAGCCCCACACCAGAGGCTGAAAGTGCTGGCAGAGCGTTTTCTACCACCGAGAAGTTGCGGTGCCAGGTCTTAGAGTGCATGTTGTCACAGACCAGCTTTYTAAGAATCATGCATACTTTTACGATGTAGATAACGTATGGCGCTCTGCCATGAGCTTGCATCTGCATGTGATAAGGGGCCATCACCCTTAGTATTTCATTGCTTTGCATTCACGGGACTCTCCCTCTGGACTCAAGCAATCTTGGATATTTTCAGGAGCATAGAAATTAACACCATCATCCCTGCTGCTGTTCTACTCTGTCTGAATCCAGAACATTCCAATATGGGCCAAAATTTCTTCTTTGTAATTCCATGTTTTGCCTTTAACAAAAAATGTATACATGGTAGAGAAGACACAAAGACCTACCACAGGATTTTGGTGATTTGGTTAAAAAGAAGATGCATCAAAATCCATATTTTGAAGTGTGTTTTTTTTTTTTTGGGGGGGGACCCATGAAGCTTTGGCACTGAAAACATTATATGTTAAAATTCAGGAGAGATGGGGCTGGGGTTATAGTTCAGTGGTTGAGTGCTTGCCTCGCATGTGTGAGGCACTGGGTTCGATCCTTAGCACCACATAAAAAAATAAATAAATAAAATAAAATAAAGATATTGTGTCCATCTACAACTAAAAAAATATTTAAAAAAAATTCTGGAGAGGTGAGAGGTTCAGGTATATCTAAAGCATTTCACATGGTATGGATTATTTTTTAATATTTATTTTTTTTTTAGTTTTTGGCGGACACAACATCTTTGTTTGTATGTGGTGCTGAGGATCGAACCCGGGCCGCACGCATGCCAAGCAAGCGTGCTACCGCTTGAGCCACATCCCCAGCCCTGGTATGGATTATTTTTTAACTTCCCCTCTTCTATTAAACAAAATTACTTGCAGCAATAATGATGAATTACAATGATTGTATTTTGCTGGACGTGGTGGCATATGCCTGTAATCCTAAACTCAGGTAGGAGGATCAGAAATTCAGAGCCGGCCTCAGCAACTCTGTGAAGCCCCAGTCAACTCAGCAAGACCCTGTTTCTAGATTAGGAAAAAAAGGGGGGGGGCTGGGGATGTGGCTCAGTGGTTAAGTGCCCTTGGGTTCAATCCCTGGTACCACATACACACACACAAACATACACACGCACATACATGCACACAGATTGTATTTTATGTTGATTCTTACCAAACAAAAATATTGGAGCTTGTAAATTTGCTTTCCTTTTCACTGTTTTAAGCTTGAAACACAATTAAAAAGTTTAAGTAGACGGAAGCCAATAGCTCAAGTTATTTTATTGAGTTTATTATCTTTTTAAAACATTTTTAATGTCTGCACTTTAATTTTTTTATTACTATAATGAAATACCTGAGGCAGATTAACTTCATAGAGGAAAGAGGTTTACTTTGGCTCATAGTTACCAAAAGTGTGAGGCTGGGTGGGTGCTTCAAGCTTGGTGATGGCCCTCTTGCTGGCAGAACCTCCAGCTGGCACAGAGCATTCATGGACAGTGTGTGCTCTCCTTTGCCTCTGCAGCCCCAATACTCTCAYTATTTCCTTTGAGTCCACTACTGAGATACAGAAAGACCCAGTTCCACAGCCTGCAGTTATAGACTGAGCAGAAGAGAGCTGAAATAATTCAGGAAGAAGGAAACYGTAGAAATTTACTACAGAAAAGAGCACATGTAGTTGAGTCTGAGGGTGGCAGTGTCCCAACATATTACTTAAGAATTAAATTTTCTGGCCAAGCATAGTGGTGCATAATTATAATGCCAACTATTGGAGAGGCTAAGGCAGGAGGATTGCAACTTTRAGCGCAGTCTCAGCCATTCAGCAATACCTATCTCAAAATAAAAATGATAAAAAGGGCTGGAGATGTAACTTGGTGCAACAGGCCCCTGGTTTCAATCCTTACTCCCCAAAATAATCTGTATGCAGAATTAAATTCTGTGTCAAAYATGTTTTTTTAAAGGCCAAATTATTAAAACTACTAATTTGAAGAACATATATTATTGAAACTCAATGGTCACACTTCACTTGTTTTGATTTAGAATTTAGAGCAGGGCAAGGGATGTAGCTTGGGGGAAAGTTCTTGCCTAAGCATGTACGAGACCCTGGGTTTGATCCCCAGCACCACAAAAAATATACAAAAAATCTCTCTTAAGCCAAAAGATTTTTTTTTCAGGGAGGAATATTATACCCTCAGTTGACTAGAATTGCTGGCTTTTGGACTGATTACTATTTTAAAATTTTCTGTAGACAAGGCCCCTCTATTGCCTGTCCTTGGTGGTGTTGGAGCACAGTTCCTACTATCCGGCTCTTGAGCACACTTGGTAAAGAAGTTTTGTTTATTCATTTATTTGTGGTGCTGAGGATGGAATTCAGGGCCTCACACACACTAGGCAAGTGTTCTATCACTGAGTGATGCACCCAGCCCTCTATCTTTCTTTTATGACGGGACAGAGGGGTGACTCCTGTCAAAAGGCAGGTGGGCCTGGTATAGTGGCCCACACTTGTAATCCCAGTACTTGGGAGGCTAAGGCAGGAGGATCCCAAGTTTGAGGCCACTCTGGGCAATTTAGCAAGACCCTGTCTCAAAATAAAAAAATAAAAAGAGCCGGTGGTGTAGCCCAGTGGTAGAGTATCCCCGGGTTCAATCCCCAGTACCACAAGAGGGAGAAAATGGCAGGTGAGATGAGAGAACTGTCAGATGCTTGGACTATGGGCAAGGAATATTTTAGAAAGGAGGTGACAGGGAATTAGAATTGGTGAAAACTGATTGCCTTCAAACTGTGTCTGAGCACTCCTTGGTAGATGTTTATAAGGGAGCCAGCTGAAGCCATTAGTTGGCATACGTTCCACTTTTCATTCTCCATCCTGCTGCTTAGACTGCTCCCGCCATCCTGGACCATGCAGCTGAGGAGCTCACCCTCAGGACAACAGGATGGGGAGGATCCTGGAACTCTGGGAGCTCTATTTATAGTGTCTGTACTTCCAGACTTTGTGTGGAAGAAGTTAGATCCCTGCTTCCAAGGGTCGGGGAAAATCCTAACATGTAAGCCAAGATTGAGAGGATGACTAAATCTGATCTTCTTAAAGAAAAGGTGGAGAATTTCAGGGAGTGGGAGGCTCAAGTAGGAAAATCAAGAACAAAGTAACATCTAGGTGCAGTGGTATGTCTCTGTCCTCCCAGCTAGTCAAGAGGCTGAGGGAGAATTGCAAATTGGAGGGCAGCCTGGGCATCTTTGTGGGGTCCTGTCTCAAAATAAAATTAAAATAGGGGCTCGGTGGTAGAATGTTTCCTTAGCATGCACCAGGCCCTGGGTTTGATTCCTAGTGTGAGATCAGGCAAGGGGCGGCGACCAAAGGAGGCAGATTTAAAAACACCGCCAAATGAGGCTTTATTTGAGACTCACTCCCAGGGGGAACTCTATCAGACCCACAGAACGGACAGGGGAGGGTCTGAGGAGAAACAGCATGGGAGCTCCACTGGACTGGAATTTTATGGGGCTTAAGGAAGGAAGGGAAGGGCTTGGGACAGGAAAAGGTGTTTTTAGAGTCCCTTGTCCAGCTGGAGTTGGTGGGGGGGCGGGAGCTGGCTGAACTCCAGGATTGGTCAGGAGAGCCCGCTGATTGACAGGCGTTTCCATAGGCACCTGATTGATGTTTGCTGTGGGCTGTTTTGTCCTAAGACACAGCCACCGATCTGACACCTAGTACCCCAAAGTGAGGAGAGAGAGAGAAAGAGTGGGAGAGAGAGCGGGAGAGAGACAGACAGAATGTGCCAAAGACAGCATGGTGAGTTGGACTGGAAATGAGGGAGCTCAGGATGAAGGAATGCAGGAGTTCCAGGGACCTTCAAGAAGGAAGCCCAGAAGGATTTATGCGTGCCTTTTGTCATAAGCTAATATTACAGTCTGGGAGCTCTGGGATGCCGGGAGTTTCTCAGAGGCCAAAACAACAAATCCAGGGCTCTCCCCTCCCAGAGTGGCTCCAGGCAACTTCTGTTAGTAAAGAATCCTGTTTACTACCCTCTGACTCACAGTCACCTGTGGTTTCTATGGTTCCCACCAACAATGAAGCATAAATCCATTCCTAAAAGGGTTGGGTCTGCAGGGTGGGGGTGTCTTCTCCCTTTTCTGGCTCTGAACCTAGCAAAGCTTCCTAGCTTCCTGAAGGGTGTTGAGGGGAAGGGAGAGTGTCTAGCTCTGGAATCTCAGGCCTAGTTTTCCTTGGGATGGAATGAGAGGGAAGCTGAGACAAGGAGCTGAGCAGGATTAAAGGGCTGATCTCTGCAGCCAGGGCTAACTGTGCTGGAGGTAGCTGAACAGAAGCTCTGTTCCCTCTACCCAGTTAGGGAAGGAACCCCAGAGATGGGAGAGAGACAGAGAACTTCCAGAACAGAAAGCTTACTGCAAGATTTGGGAAACCTGGCCACTTTCTTCACCAGGAACAAGGAGAGTTCTGTTTCCCAAAGCTGAGGCAGAAACGACAGGTCAGAACCAGGATGTTCCACAGCTGGTGCAGACACAAAGGAACCAAAAGAAAGGGAAGCCAAAGGGGCAGATGGATTTTTAAAAGACTGCTATACCTCATACTTGTGCACAATATCTTACAGATTACAAAGCACTGTAACCTATGACATTTTCTCATTTGCTTTTTTGCAGAACACTGTGAGATAGCCAGGGCAAGAAATGTCAAACCAAGAACTCAGTGGTAGAGTGCTTGTCTAACACGCATGAGGCCCTGGGTTCAATCCCTACTACTGCAAAGAACAACAACAACAAATCCCACTCTACAAAGTGTGAACTCAGACTTACAAAAGTTGCTTAACTTTATTTAGCCAAGATCAAAAATAGGCCTAAAACCTTCAGGTGTGTATTTTAGTGCCCTTCCAATTTGGTGATTTAGTATAAGTAGTTTGTTTATTGCTGTATCAGAGGTTGCATCTGGTACTGCTGAGCTACACCCCAAACCTTGTCTTTGATCATTTAAATGAGTGTCTAGGACAGGCATGGTGGCACATGCCTATAATTCCAGTGACTTGGGAGGGTGAAGCAGGAGGATTGCAAGTTCAAAGCCAGCCTTGTCAACTTAGTGAGACCTTGTCTCAAAATAAAAAAAATAAAAAAAAATTTTTTTAAAGGGCTGGGGGTGGGTATCAGTGTGGGGAATGGGTGTCTAGTACACACATTCTCAACAGTTTGGTTAATTTATAAAATTGTCACAAGTTTTAAAATAATGTATTAAAACATTAAGAAAATAGTAACAATGGCTCTCATAAATCAATGAGAAGGATATTATTTGTAATTTTCTCTAGAGCATTTATATTCATCTTGATGTCAGATAGTTTGACAACAGATAGCTCTGGCCCCTCATCCTAGAGGTGGAGAGAAAGGCAGAGTTCAACTTAACTCATAGTCGTAAGACTGGGACTGGCATCAAGTGTTTTGTGGCTGTCCAGATGTTCTGGATAAGCAGATGACACTTGAACTTAGAATCGTGAAAAACATTCTAAGGGAAGATGGTCAGCCAAACCACCAAGGCCTAAGTCTGTAAGCACAGTATGCTCAACAGTTGGAAGACTGACCTTATTTTATTTTATTTTTTCTTTTGGTGCTCAGACCAAACCCAGAAYCTCACAAATGCTAGGCAAGCAAGTCACCACTGAACCACATCCCCAGTCCAAGACTGATTCTTTCAATCTGAGAGGTGGAATCTTAGAGGTGGATTCCTTATCCAACCTTTAGCCTCATAGGAAAATACTCCTTTGTACTCTAATGTAGAATTTTCTAAGTGTGTGTGTGTGTGAGTGTGTGTGTGTGTGTGTGAGAGAGAGAGAGAGAGAGAGAGAGTGTGTGTGTGTGTGTGTGTGTTATTGTAGTGAATTATCCATAACATGAAGGAAAAACTCAAATGTTGGGAAATAATAAAACTTTGATGATGCATCTGGTCCAGAGTTCTAGCTTTAAAAAATATTGATACCAATGTAATATTGTGAAATTTTGGGCTAGGGAATGTAACTCAGTGGTAGTGTGTGTGCTTGGCACACATAAGGCCCAAGGCTCAATCCAGCTCCACACACACACACACACACACACAAACAAAAAAAAGTGAAATTTTTTGTCCTGAGTGATAGGTTCTGATACATCACTAAGATATATTACTTGAGCAAAGCATTGGCAATCAAATGCTTTTAAATTAGTATTATTCATATCATGAAGGGTCACCCCATATTTCAAAAAACTGATGGGATGGAAAGGAAGAAGTAAAACTAATTCTGATTGCAGATGACAGGATCTTATGTTATAAACCCCAATCTTTAAAAAATGATTCAAGAAACAAGTTCATTAAAGGTACAGAATACAAAATCAATATACAAAACATGTTGCATTTCTGTACATTAACAACGAACAATACAAAATAGAATTAAGAACATAATTCTGTTTAGGATTGTATCAAAAATAAAAAATACCTAGGGGGCTGGGGATGCAGCTGAGTGATATTGCACTGGCCTAGCATGCACAAAGTCCTGGATTCCATCCCGAGGCCCGTACACACACACACACACACACACACGAGAATAAAATACTTAGGAAGAAATTTAACCAAAGCAGTGTAGGACTTGTACACTGGAAACTTTTGTTGAAAGAAATTAAAGAAAGTCTGAATAAATCAAAGGACATTCTCTATTTATTGTCTGGAGAACTCCGTATTGTTAAGATGGGTCTACAGCTTCAATGAAACCCCTATCAAGACTGCTTTTCTCTCCCATAATTGGATAAGTTAACCCCCCAATTCATATAGAATTGTAAGGGACCCAGAATAACAGAAATCATTTTGAAAAAGAACAGAGTCAGAGGAGTCACACTTCCTGAAGCTCAAAACTTCCTACAAAGTGACCCAAATCAAGACTCATTCTACTGGCATAAGAATAAACACCTAGACTCTGGAATAGAATCCAGAGTCCAGAAATCAACCCATACATCCTGGTCATTGACTTTTGACAATCTTGCCAGAACATTCAATGAGGGAAATAAAACCTTTCAGCAAATGATGCTGGGACTGGATATCTGTATGCAAAAGAATGAATTGGAATCCTATCTTATATAAAATCAAATGAAAATTTAACTTAAAATTAGATCACACATCTAAATATAAGAGCAAAACTATAAAACTCTTAGAACATATATGAGAAGATTGATGTGTCTCTCATTTAGTTAAACATCTCTTAGATGCGACACCAAAGCACAAGCAATCAAGGAAAAACTACATAAATTGGACATCAACAAAATTAAATTTTTTTGTTGGTTAAAAACCATAAGAAAGTGAAAAATAATCCAGTAGAGGGAAAAATACTTGCAAATTATTCATCTGACAAAGGTTTGGTATCTAGAATGTATAAAGAACTATCACAATCATTAACTCAATTTTAAAAATGGGGAAAATATCTGAACAGACATTTCTCCAAAGAAGATATAGAAATGCTAATAAATAAATATATGAACAAGATTATTAAGATCATCAGCTATTAAGAAATACAAATCAAAACCACAATGAGCTATTCACACAACCAGGATAGCTATGTAATATATAATAATGTATAATAATGAAAGGAAAACAAGTGTTGGTGAGAACGTAGGGAAATTGGAACTCTCATGCACTGGTGGTGGGAAGACAAAATGGCTCAGCTACTATGAAAAATAATTTGGCAGTTCCTCAAACAGTTAAAAATAGACTCACCACATGACCCAGCAATTCTACTTGTTGCTATATGAGAGAACTGAAAACGTGCATAGAAAAACTTGCGCATGGATGTTCATAGCAGCATTACTCATAATACCCCAAAGTAGAAACGATGCACATGTCCATCAAATGATGAAAAGGTAAACAAAACATGAAATATCTGTRCAATGAAGTTTGTTCAGCCATAAAAAGGGATGAAGTTCTGGCACATCTTATATCATGGATGAACCTTGAAAAACATCAGAAGTGAAAAAGACATACACAAAAGGCCACATATTATAGGACTCCATTTATATAAAATGTCCCAAATAGGCAAACCCATAGAGAGAGAAAATGATGAGCAGTTTCCAGGGGCTGGGGGAAAGGAGGGAAGTAGGACAGACAGCCACTTTAAGTATGGGGTTTCCTTTTGGGGTGATAGAAACATTCAGGAAGGAGATAGTCCTGTTGGTTTCACAGCCCAGCAACTGTGCCAAAAGCTACTCAATGCACTTTAAAATGTGCATTTTATATTATGTGAATTATACCTCAATAAAAATGCCGAACAGAACACAACAACATTCCCCAGAGCACCTTTGCCCTCTAGAGTCAGTGTATTTCACCACAGGAGAGAAGCAGCAGTTTTTTTTGCTGGCTGCCTGTTTCTACCTGAATACATTGAAAAGAATGTTTCCTTAGCGACTGCAATTTGAATTAGGGTGAAATTTTTTTTAAATTTCCTTCAACACTAAGTTGAGTTCAGGAGCATGTTGATGACTGTTGGTGGTTCTCTGTGAATTAAATAGTGTTCAAACTGGCATTCCAATGATCATGGTAATAATAATGGCCAGATTTTATTGAATACTTTTATATGACACATTGTCCTAAGCAATTCACATGTACGTCTTCCCTGATCTTTACCACAGCTGTATGAAACAGGTATTATTTTTACTATTATAATCATTCTCAGTTTTCAGAGGGAAAAATTGAAGCATAATTTTTTCTTTTATCATAATTTCAGCTATTTTATTGTTCCCAGAGTCAGTGAATCATCTATTCTAATTCTACTCTACTGTGCCTTTTTTTCACTCACAAAATAACCTCATAAATAAAATATATTTCTCTTATGGTATTTATTTATTTATTTGATACTGGGGATTGAATCCATTGGTGCTCCACCACTGAGCTGCATCTCCAGTCCTTTTTAAATTTTTTTTTTTTTTTTTTTTTTTTTTTTAGTTTTAAGATAGTCTTGCTAAGTTGCTGAGGCTGGCCTTGAACTTGCAATCCTCCTGCCTCAGCCTCCGTAGTCACTGGTATTACAGTTGTGTACCACTGTGCCTGGCCTCATATGGCATTTTAGAGATAAAGACAACGCATATTCATTGAGTTCTTTATCCTTGTATATGCTCATTTCATTTTTTTAAAAGATATAATTTAAGTTCTTTCTTTCTTTCTTTCTTTCTTTTTTTTTGCTCTTCCTATTTTGACACCTATTTCACAGTCACTACATCAGAATTTTAGCCACCCACTAGGAGAGCCATATACCAGCACACACATTTGATGGTGACTGCTGTTGCACATTGTTTTCTGTTGTTATGTGGCATCCAACAGTGGCATTTGGTGAAACTGTTTCTGAGTATTTATGTCATTACATTGCAGCTGGTTTGTCCAGCTTCTTTGTCATCCAGTGGTTGTACTTGTAGGACTGAGGGCAACTTTGAGTAATTTGCTATATTCTTGATATCTTTATGTTTCCCACAATATTAAGATTGTATTCTGGGACAATGTTATTTTGTGCTTATTCTAGAAAAAAAAATTGGGCTCCTGAGCATGAGAAGACAAAAACTTTGGTGAATGTGAGTCATGATTTGACATTTCACAGCACACAATGTATTGGGATAGGAGGTGAAAAAGCAACAACACCCAGTTTCCAGAATCTTTGAAGTAGTTTCTATCGACAGACTCTCTTTGCTGCTTGTGCAAAATATCATGCTTTCACTTTCTTTTGTCCCAGCACATGCAAACATTTAATATTCCCACAGAACCTGCTTACTGTTTAAATGGATGACAGCGTCTGAGCTGTCACACCTATATTATTATTATTGTCACTGCTACTTTTATGAGTCATTGAAGCACCTTTGAGCCATTAATGACTTTTGTAATTATAGCACAACAGTATGAAAGCATAAAACACATTTTAAAACATGATCAATAATCTTCATATAAGGGGAAAATAAGATTAGCCCTGGGAACCCGTGTGCACTCTTTAAGGTTGCAATATTTACTAAGAGTGTAATAATTATTAAGGGCACAAAAATATTTTAGTGGTCACCATAATCAGTGTCATATTTAAATGTGTGAAAAGTAGGGAAACAATTATTTTTTCATTGTTTCCCCTGAAACTACTAGTCTACTTAAGGACCATTGATTAAACTATTCTTGGGCCTCACTAAATAAACATTTCAATGCTCCAAGGGATATTAAATTCCTAAGAGATGAGCTGTTGCACAGGTGGTGGAAGGAAATATGGGTGGAAAGAAGCCATCTGAAGTATTGAGGGGTATTCAGAATGAACTCAGAGCTGTTTTCTGAGGTCTACATTTCCACCTCTGGCCGAGGAGTTCTGTGCAGTAGCTCACCACTAGAGGGCACTGTGGAACTAGGGATGCCAGTATTGGTTCTCGTGGATCTAGAGACTTACTCCCAAGTCATTCTTCACTGCTAACCATCTTTCAGCTATTTCCTTTTAACAACTTTTTTTTTTTTTTTCTGTATTGGGAATTGAACCCAGGGCCTCATGCGTGCTAGGCAAGCATTCTACCACCCTTTTGATGTTTTATTTTGAGATAGGCTCTTACTCAGTTGCCCAGGTTGACCTCAAACTTGTGATCCTCTTACCTCTGCCTCCCTGGAAAACAAAATTACAGGCATGGGCCACTTTGCCTGGCATCCCCTCAGCTTTTTAACCATATCACTTGTGTTTCTCTCTTCATATTCAGGGTTCTTAACCTAGTAACCATAACTTCTGATGTTTAGTCAACATCAGGAATTTATATATAAAATATGTTAATTAGGTGCATTTTATTTTTGGTCCGGAGTGAGATTTAAATCAAATTCTCAAAAGGATATGTAACACTCCTCCTCCCAAGTGTCAAGAATTATTGCCTAAGCAATGATAGTCCTTTGCAAATGTAGAACACAATAATGTTAAATACCAATACACTATCAAGTGGCAAGCACTTTATACATGTAATTTAATGTAATACTCACCCTCCCTTGCAAGGTATCCCATTTCACTGAGGAAGAGCTCTGGGCCACAAGCTGGAAGTAGGGTTCCATTCCAGAGATGTCTGACTTGCACTGTGTTATTGCTATACCGAGAAAAAAGGGAGAGAGACTTATTTGCTCATCAACAAAGATATGWGGGGTACTGAGGGTGTGTCCAAGCCCTGTCTTGGGTGGTAGGGATTGAGTGGTGAGCAAAACAGCCTTTCTTCCCGCTCTTATGAGCTTAGCATCGGAGGTGATGGTGGACATGTTAGTAGGAGATGAACAATAAACAAGTAAGTGCCTAAGTGTAAATTGAGAAAAAAGCTTTGAGGAGATAAACAGGCAGCAGCATAAACAAATGGGGAAACTACCAACAGGCTGGCCAGGGGAGGCCTATCTGAGGAAATCACATGTGAACTCAGCATAAGGATGAGGAGTCTGCCATGGAAGAGCTGCAGATGGAGCCTTCCASGAGAGGAGGAGCTTCCTGCCTGTGACTCTGGGAGGCCACTCAGGTGGTGGAGAGGAGGAGCAAAGGTCAGCAGGGCTTTCTAACTAGTAAGGAATTCAGATTTATTCTAAGTGAAATGGAAAGTCATCGTGGATTCAAAGCAAGGAAAAAAGATGCAATAAACATATTTACATTTTTCTTTTTTAACCGTGACAATAAAAACAACAAAATTTACCATCTCAACTATTCTTTTTTTTTTTTTTTTGTACTTGGGATTGAACTTAACCACTGAGCCACATCCTCAGCCCTTTTTTGTATTTTATTTAGAGACAGGATCTTGCTAAGTTGCTTAGGGCTTTACTAAGTTGCTGAGGCTGGCTTTGAACTCACAATCCTCCTGGCAGCTTCCTGAACCATGGCATCTCAACTACTCTTGAACCCAGTGTCTTAACACATTTATTCAATAAAGACATGAAAATAGCCATTTRAAAAGGCTTTCAACGTCATTGATCATCAGGGAAAAATAAATCACTATTAACCAGGGACAGTGGCACATACCTATCATCACAGTTACTCAGGAGGCAGAAGTAGGAGGATTACAAATTTGAGGCCACCTAGTGAGACTCCACTTCAAAATAAAAAACAAAAAGGGCTGGGGAGGGAGCTGAGAGGAAGAGTGCTTGCCTGGCATGCATGAGGTCATGGATTCAATACCTAGTACTAAAAAAAAAAAAAAAAAAGTTTTGAGATACCACCTGATAGTCTTTATGATGGCTATTACAAAAAAAAACACACTGAGGTATATTTCAGTGGTAGAGCACATGCCTAGCATGTATAAGGCCCTGGGTTCCATCCCCAGCACTGGGGGTGGGGGGGAGATTAAAAAAACAAGKGTGTAGAGAAAACGGAACTCACACACTGTTGGTAGAAACAAAAATTGATATACTCTTTGTGAAAAACTGTGGAATTTTATAAAGAAATTAAAAACAAAACTGCCATGTGACCTCAAATCCCTCATCCCTCATAGTCAAAGGAAATAAAGCCAGCACCTCCTAAAGACACCTGCACTCCTATGTTCATTGCAGCATTATCACAATAGCCAAGATATGGAAGTCACCAAAGTGTCCACTGATAGGCAAATAGATAAAGAAACTGGTTCATACAAGCAAGGAATATCATTTAGCCCTAGAAAAGAATGCGATCTCGTCATTGCCATAACATGGACGAGCCTGGAGACAGTTTGTGAAGTGAGATGAGGCGGACACATAAAGAAGAATATTGGATCATCCCACTTATATAAACAGATAAACAGAAAAAAACAGAGGTTACCAGGGGGCAGGGCAGSGACTGGGGAGGAGGAAACTAGGAGATGTAGGTCAGAGGATACAAAGTGACAGACACATAGGACGAACAAGTCTAGAGATCTCATGTGCACAGACACAACTACAGGTAATAAAACTGTGCTATGCACAGGCTCAGGGAAAGTGAGTAGATTTTAGCTGCTCTTGCCACAAAAATGAGGGAAAAGGTAACCATATAAGATGATGGCTGTGTGAATTTGCTTCACTATAGTAACATTTTTAGTACTTATATGTGTCCTATCTCATTGTGTAGTACACCTTCAGTATATACATTATTATTATTATTTTAAAAAGAGGTTGGATTCTGATAAACAGTAGGAAATAGGCAGTCTGAGCAAGGGGATAAGGGGAAGGGCAGGGGCTTTTGGTGGTTGTTTTGGCTAAATTTTATAATGCATGTGGGAGCTAATCATGGTGGCACACACCTGTAATTTCAGCAACTTGGGAGCCTGAGGTAGGAAGATCGAAAGTTCAAGGCCAGCCTGGGCAACTCGGCAAGACCCTATCTCAAGATAAAATTTTAAAAGGGCTGGGGATGTGGCTCAGTTGTAGAACATGAGTTTAGTATGCTTGAGGGCCTGGGTTCCTTCTCCAGCATGGAAAAAAAAAATGCATGTGGTATCAGATTGTTCTGATGCTGAAGGGAATGATCTGGTGGAAAGAGAATGAACATACAGTTAGGAGAGGGGACAGCTGGGGAACAAGTGGGAGGACAAGATACTCTGAGCACCTGTGAGCCACTGACTTCAGAAAGATGGATCCTTCTTGTGGCATCTGGTTAATAAAAAGGAGCAGGCTTGCTGAAGGTGGGTGAATTTGGTCCTAGAAAGTTGAGAAAGCTCCTGTCTGATGGATCTACATTCTCAGTGAAGGGAGATAAAAACCTATCAGGCAAAACTTAGGACGGGGCAGGAGACCAGGGACAGTTCCAGGAYAGAGAAGAATACATGTGGTAGCCACTGAGGAGAGTGGGAGAGAGAAAGTACTTTGAAAACATCTTAGGTGCCTGGACAGGCACCAACAAAACAAAACCTCCAAACCAAAAAACAAACAAACAAACAAAAAACCTTAGGGTAGTTGGTGGCCATTAGGAGCCCATTGGAGCATGTCAAATGTCCCAAGGCCTGTGTGTAAGGATTGGTCCCCAGGGTGATGGTGGTGGTGGAAACCTTTGAGAGGAGGGGCCTGTGGGAGGCCCTTGGGTCATTGAGGGAATGCACCCAAAGAGGATGGCGGGACCCTGGAGTAGTTCTCTTTTTCTTTTTCTTGCTGAAAATGAGGTGAGTGGTTGTACTCTGTCACATGCCCCTGCCACAATATGCTGCTTCACCAGAGGCTCAGAACAACAGGGCCAATACATCGTGGACTAGAACCTTCAAAATGGAGCCCAAACCATCATTTTCTTTTTATAAGTTAAAGATCTTTGGTCTTTTATTACAGTGACATGGATCCAACTCACAGGTGGTAAACAGATTATAGCACCCTCATCTGGCTGGTTATGTTTCTTCCAGCTGTGCTTATTTTTATTGGTGCAGCCTGGAGTAGTTCATCTGGGGACTGAGGTTCTGTTAGGGGTGTATGATAGAGCCAGGGAAGGGAACTGGGGACTTTTGTAGAGAAGTGGCTCTAATGAGGATCCATAGACTCTGCTGGATAAAGAGAGAAGCCAGAGAAAGGTGACTGGTTACCAGAATTGGATGTTCCCAAAGCACTGGTTCATAGGTTGTCCTGAGCATGTGGCCACAGAGTGAAAGGATGGCACCTATGCTGGAGAAGATAAGGCAGTTTCAGGAAAATGATAAGATCTAGGGTGTGGTCCTGGCAGTGGGAGGCCTGGGAAGCGGAAGAAGTGGTCATCCTAGAGGAACAGGACAAGGAACACAGGGGCCAGGGTGATGGAAGGGTCTCTCGCATGGCTGTTGAAGTTGCCTAGAATAATGAGAGAAGTAGCCAAGTGTGGTGGTGCATACCTGTAATCCCAGTGACTCTGGAGACTGAGGCAGGAGGATTCCAAGTTTGAGGCCAACCTCAGTGACTTAGACCCTGTCACAAAATTAAAAATAAATAAATAAACAAAAAGGACTGGGGATRTCACTCAGTGGAACAGTACCCCTAGGGTTCAATCCCCTGTACCAAAATATCAATAACAGTCATAGCAAGGAGCAGAGTCTTCAGGAAATCAGAGGCCCAAAGATGTTGCAAGAGTGAGAAGAGAGTGCCAGAGCTGGATGTCTTGATTCTCAAATGTTTGTAGGGGAAYGGCAGGGATTAGTGGGTACAATATAACTCCCTGAAGTAGCTGTGGGGACCCAGGAGGATTATCCTCACTTCCTGCCCCTAGATATGTGGGAGATGTGAGAGGAAGATGAAGGCTAGATTCGAAGAGGAATTCTCTAACCCTGACAAGTATGAGGCAGGAAGACTATCGACTAACGCTGCCCTAGGAAGTTTCTTTTGTTGTTGTTGTTGAGGGGGGCGGTTGGGACCAGAACCCATCCTTAAACCTTCTTCTTCCATCTTCCAATCTCTTTGAGGGCTGATAGAAACTGGCCTCTTTGGGCTAGAGATTTCATTCATCTAGCAAAAATCTCCTGAGCTCCAAGACTAACTCTTCTAGGCACTGGAGACACAGAAAAAACAAAATGGAGAAGAAATCTCTGCCTCCATGGTAGCTTCTTGGCAGGGAGATCTGTTTAGATTTGTTCTTGATCAACAGTTATCAGAAGGAAGTTAATTACTCAGAGATGCTAGAATCTGGATGTTCAGTGAGTTAATAGTGAGTCACTTTAGTTGCTGGAGAGAGGGGAGACGTGGAGTGGCAGTGGAGGGAGATGGAAAGAAGTCAAGAGGAGGTATCTGAGCCCAGGGACTGTGAGAAGTTGAGAAAATATTTGCTTTTCCTGGTAGCTGATCTGTCAAGCAGGACATAATCCCTCATTCCCCCAACAGTCCTGGAATTAAATGAAAGTGTTGCCTAAATAATTAAGTGCAATACAAATGCTCATTATGCCATTACTGAAGTCTCCATTTCATTTCCTGAGTATGGACACAGTAATAGCATGTACCTCCCTCAGGGTGGTTGTGGGCATTAAATAAAAACAATATGCATAAAAGGCTTAGTGTCTGGCACATGACACTGGGTAAATGTCAGTTATCATCATTAGTTGGATCTCCTGTTCATCCAGTGAATTCTCTGCTGTCTCAGGATCACGCTCCACCGCTCCACCGGGAAGGAGAAACGGCTGGGACTCCAGTGCCTGGGTGGGGTCAGGCTTGAAATGAGCCTGGGCCGMACCTGTGAGCAGGCTGGGTGCCCACACTTAATGGCATAGCTTCTTGGAAGTGAAGGAGGAGGAGGAAACCCACTAGTAAGGAAATCTTTGTTCCTCCTTCCTTCTCCCYAAAGTTCCTCCTCCATCCTCTCATTCAAACTGAGACTGGGATGGCCCCCTCTCCAACTTTTCACTTAAAAAATGTTCATATCTACCAGAAAACAGGAAAAATACAATGAACCCCACACATTATGCGTTTAAATTCCCTAATGGCCACATCTTGCCAGAGCTCAGAGGGTGGAGAGGTCCCGGAGAAGTTCTGCAGAGACCTCGCCACCGGGATAAGGCTCGGCTAGCTGCCCCCGGGGACCCGGGCTGCGCGTCCGGGTATGGCCGCGAAGGGGCGCTCCCGGAAGGACCCCAGAGGGACAGAGCCCGCTCTGTGGGACCGCAGTGTCTGCGGGTGACTCACTGCGGCGGCTGGAGGATGAGTCAGCCCTCCCTGGGCTTCCTGCGCCCGCTCCCTCCCTCGCTTCTCACCGCGCGGCCGCGCCCAGGCCGCCGGCTCAAATCTGACCCTTGGGACAGGGTTGGGGCGCGCCGCCCTGACGTGGCCAGTTCCCGAGGCTGCCCTCGCGGGCCCGTTTCGGGTCCAGCCCTGGAGGCCCGGGCCCTTCCCAAAGCCTTGCGCCAGGATGCCCGSGGCCCCATCCGGGGCGCCCTCGGGGCTCCTCCGCTTGTTCCCTTTCTGCGGTCAGGACCCCGGCAGAGGCCCGTCCTCCCCCGGAAACTCCAGGGTTCTGCCCCGCCCTCTCCGCGCTCCCCGGGGCTTCCCTCGCCACCCGAGACGGGCGCCTTTTGGAAGGGACCCGAGGGCAGAGGGTGCGATCCCGCCGTGAAGCCGAGGCCGCAGCTCCCGGGGCTGGGCCGGGGCGCTTTTCCGCGGGCCCTCGCGTCTCGCCTGTCCCCAGGCGGGAGCTGCTTCCCTCCAGAGCAGTGTCAGGACCCCGCCCTGCCTGGGCCGGGCTCCCCGGGACGTCTCTGGGCCACTGCTGGGCGGTGGGCGGCGGCTGCCGAGGGAAACATCCCCCCTGCCAAAACCATGGGTGATGGTGGGTGTGGGGAGTCTGCTCTGTTCCCTGGGCGTGTCCGGGTGTTTTGGCCTCTTCTCAGAGTCTGAAGAAATAGGAATCCTTGGTGGGTCCTAGCTGCAGGCTGAAGAAGGTGCCCGGCCWAGAGATCTTGCAAAACCTGGGGATCGCCTTACGTGGAGATCTCGTCAGGCAAGAAAGTGACTTATCATGAGGCTCAGAAGCTCCTGGGTCTGGCTGGGCCTCCCACTCACAGGGTGTTGGAAAGTGCATAAAATAGTGCCTAGCAGGTGGTCAGCACTTAATAAACATTATATATTATTATATATGTATAATTTTGGACATATAATTATATATTAATATGCAAAACATAAATGTATATGCATACATGTCATTATAGGGCACCTATTGTATGCCAGGTATTGTCCCAAGGGCTCTTCAGGTACTAATCATCTCCTGTGATTTCCACAACTACACTACTCTTAKTATTCCCATAAGGTGGCGGGCAGGAGGAATACAAGTTTACAGGAAAGGAAGGCACTTTCACTAAGGCATGCAGCTAGTGTAGGTCCCTACTTCTGACCCCCTGTTTAGAAGCTATGTTCACTGAGACTTTGGATATCTGTGGAGTCTAGGGATGTATTGTAAATGGTTTGCACCTTCAGGGCATTTGAGAGCACAGTTAAACCCAGCCCTGGGAAGAGGAGGAGTCATTTTCTTTACACTGTTGCTCTTCTTAGTCCTGCCCCTAACCCTGTAGCTCTGTAGCTGTCCCTAAGGTGCTAATAGGTTCAGAAGAGGCTCCCTGAATACTACTGTTGTCTCCTTGTTAGCTATCCCTGTTGCCCTGGGGACCTGGTCTCTGGCTCTTTGCTGTTTTTTTTTTTTTTTTTTTTTTGACCATACTTGCTGTTTGGGAGATAGTTGCTTTTAGCAAGATTTCCTAAATTCCTGCTAACAGAGTGGGGTTCATTAGAATATCTTGAGGACATGTTAAATACAGATTCCCTGGCCCACTTGAGAGCTGTGATTTTCAACTTTGTGCATTGATACGATGGGCTTGAAGAAAATGCTGACACCAGGGCTCTTCCTCTAGAGATTCTGACTGAGTAGATCTGGGGCTCAGCCTGGGTGTCAGCATTGTGACACACTTCCAGGTAACTCCAGTGAGTTGCTGGAACTGAGAAAATGGAGTTGGTAGGTTTTGGTGGTGCTAGGAACACATTTTTTTTTTCATGCGCAGCTGGTCTCATTTGCAGACTTCAGATATAGAGCTCCCTGTTTCTTATTTGGAGTGAAGAATGTAGACCTTTTCCTTGGGAGAGCCAGGGTCACATGTGAAAGCTGCTTCTGAAAGCGTCCTGTCTTTACTCACTCTCTCCTAGCCCCTGTCTCAATTACTGGATCTCTCTCCTTACCTTATTTTCTCTTCTCACCCGTATTCTCCCTCACCTGGTGGGGTTCTTTTCTCACAGGTTCTGGTACTGCTATGACGTCTCCATCTGGGGCTGGAGCTTTGAACTCTGAGGACTCAGAGCAGACATGTTTGCGGCCCATAGATCTATGTGAGCTCTAATACTGTTGCTTTCCACGGTTCCCCAGGAGATGGTATCGTGACTGTGCTCTCTGCTGGGCAACTGGTTAGTCCTCTGTTTCAGTACTGCAGTCCATCCTGGAGTAAAGTTGTATCTTAGTAGCCTTTTCCATCTCTCYTTGGATACTGGGCATATTTGTGGATACTACGTGTTAAGCTAGGAGTCTAGGAACCTGTGTTCTGTACTGTGTGCTCATGTCACTCAACCGGTTTTTCTTTCCTTTCCTTTTATTTTATTTATTTTTATTTTTTTTGGTACTGGGGATGGAACTCAGGGGCATTTTATGACTCGGCTATATCCCCAGCCCTTTTATTTTTATTATTATTTTTTCATTTTTTGAGACAGGGTCTTGCTAAACTACACAGGCTGCCTTCAAATTTGTGATCCTTCTGCCTCAGCCTACTGCGTAGCTGGGATTACAGGTGTGTGTCACCCACACCTGGTGTTACTTAACCTCTTTGATAATTAATTTCCTCATCTGTTTCATGGGTACCTCATAAAATTGCTATGTGGTTCAAATAAAAGAATCTGCAAAAATGTGCTTTGAGCTGGGCGTGGTGGCCATATGCCTATAATCCCAGCGGCTCAGGAGGCTGAGACAGGAGAATCACGAGTTCGAAGCCAGCCTCAGAAAAAGTGAGGTGCTAAGCAACTCAGTGAGACCCTGTCTCTAAATATACAAAATAGGGCTGGGGATGTAGCTCAGTGGTTGAGTGCCCTTGAGTTCAAACCCTGGTATCCCCCTACCCCAAAATGTGCTTTGGTGATTTCGAATCATAACATTGATGGTAATCTATATTTATTGAGTTGGATAAATGGAGTGTTCTCTTGCCCATTTGGCAGAAAGAGGGGAACTCTCAAGAGAACTCTCAAGAGATCAGAAGCTGACATTAAAGTCCTTGTCAATGGTAGATCCTAGAGCCTTGTCTCTGTTCCTTATTTATACTGTGTTTAGCCAACCTAGAGTCAGGTGTGAAAGTATCCCAGGCTGTTTGTTGGGATCTTCTCAGAAAAATGAGTCATATGGTGAAAGTGGACTGCTTATCAGCAGTGA